GGCAAGCAGTGCACGTTTTGAAGTGGAATAGATTTTAGGAAGACACAATAAAGTGGAGTGGTCAGAACCTGACAATGGAGCCCTGTTTTTACGCAAAAAAGCTTGCTGTGGTTAGTCAGAATATGATCAAGAGGGGCATCTGCGCGAGTATTAAAGGAGACAAGATCATCGAAGCCTAAAAGTGTAAGGGGACGTAAATTCACGCGATTAAAATCACCGCATAAAAGAGTAAGATAGTCGCAGGACAATATAGCAAGTTTTTGTGAGAGGAAGTCGAAAAAACGGGTTGATGCGCCTTCACAGAAAGGGGGGGGGGAATGTAAATACTAACAAATATGATGCCTTTAAAATTACTTAAAAAACGGGGCTTACATAAAACAGCGATTACATCTATCAAATCATCAGAGTAAGAAAAAATGGACTTACAGTCTCTACAACGATTTTGATTAACGAAAATGGCAACGCCCCCACCTCTGCCACAAGATAAAGATCTTCTATCTGTTCGTAAGCAGTAGAAGGATGGGGGAGTAATAAGTTGCGAATCAATGTCGCTATTTAGCCACGTCTCTTGAAGGCAGACAACTTCAGTTTTGCTGTGTTCTTTTTTCGACAAAAGTAGCTCCAAATCATGGGTTTCGTTGAAAATAGAACGACAGTTTGTCGACAAGAAGGCAGGAATTGACAATTTGTGATTTGGCAATGTTTTGTTTAAGAGACACTAGTGGACTCTTTGCGATGTCCGCATGAACTTCTCTACGCCGTGGTTTTCAAAACTCCACGACACCCAGATAAAGCAGATCGATGACTTCAAAATTTTTCAGACCTATCGACATTCAGATTGATAAGTCACTGACACAGTCAGCGCCTGCGTATGCGTCGTCTTTTGATAGTTTTGGGAGTAGCTTCACTGATGAATTGGGGTAGACTGAGCAGCCAAACACTGATCCGCTCAGAATCTCGACGTATTGTCGGTCTTCCTCCCTGAGCGTCTCTGAGCAAGAATTTATCGACTCTCTGGGGATGGTCATATTTAAAATTATTTCAAACGGTTTAACGAAGATAGAGGTCAACCAGGCATTGTACATTTGAACAAGGCGTATCGCGTGAGTTCCAGTACCGTGACAGTGTTAGAAAAGGATGGGAGATGGGGAGGTGAATGCGTCTGTTAAGGAGAGCACAAGCGGCGTGGAGCCTAAGAGGACCGAGCCGGCGGCGTGAAGTTAGACGGCCGACCGGCGTGCACTGCAGCGCCGAGCACGTGTTGTGGCTTTGCTCACGCGTGCGTCTCAACCAGTGGCTGGTCGGACAGTCCAGACGTGTCCGCGAGAGGGGGGACAGTCGCACACGCGGTGGCCAATCAGCGACAAGCACGCCCCAGACAGGAACATTCTAGAACGCCCTCGACGGCAGGCACGCCATTGGGCGGAATGTTCCAGAACGCACAGGGGCCAACGCAAATGGAGCGTCTTTCTGACGGGTTGGAACGCCCTCGTGTCCGCAAGTTGCCAATAAAGTGCTTGTCCTCCGGACTGGCCCTCTTCCTGTCCCACCTTCCTTCCAGGTCATAACAGTGGCAATGACGACTCGGTGCGTTTGGCGTCCCAGTGGCTCAGTCATTCCACTGCATGACTTAGGGTCTCCACACAGGAGCTGATGCGTCGATGGGGATGGGCTGAGGAGGGCGTCGGAAATAGCACCCATTAACCGACCTATAGTCATGGTAGACACAGAGCCTATACGAGGTTCTCCTGTGCCAACAAGGTCGTTTTGTGTAAGCTGGTGGCAGTCGCCCCAGCTGTTGCTAGAAGACGCCGATCCAGTGACTTACAGTTGGTGACCTTGCTCATGAAATGAGTCGAAATTTACGAATGATTGCCAATCACTCGCAAACCGACTCCATTCCATGAGTCAATTGTCTATGTTAATTAAGTACAAGTTTAAAAGAATTAAAAACATAAGAGAAATATTGGTAGGATCCCTATTGGTAGCCCTCCCGGTACTGAAGTCCTCCGGCTCCCTATCTTACGGGACCGGTGGTAATGGAGGATATACGGGTGGGGCTACTTGTGTGCAGGCGTCAATGACGTTTATAGTGTATGCCCCGAATTGATGCCCCTGCTAAAGTCGTAGCCAAAATTAAATATGGCGAAAAGTGAAAGAAAGATATAAAAACGAACGTAGATACTGGGTACGGTCTGCGGAATGAATGCATCCTAGCTCCAGATTGGGTTGGGCGTTCCTGATTTTCCGAAAATAATAATTTGTTGCCACTAAAGTCACATGTACAGTACCTGTGCTAACTCATGAAATGCAGAGGTCAAAATTATAGTGGACAATGTAGTGTATTTTTGGTGTCGTTATTTGTGTTTATTTGGTTGAAATAAGGACGAAAAACCGTTTTCTGAAGGAAAGTTTGATACGGATCTGTATATTAAATAGAAAACGGGCCGGATTAAGGCGAAATCGGAGGATTCCTGATATTCAAGCAGTTTCCTACGCTATTAAAGCTTTCGGATGGAAATTCTTTGTGTAACCTTATTAATCTGTTTAAGAAGATTAATAAAAGGACGAAATNTCTGCCACGCCAAACGATAACTATGTCTAAACAATACTTATCCGAAGTTGACTTCCAGCGCATTCGAAAATTAGCGGCGGAAGGAATCCCGCGTGAGTCGTTAGCTAATATTTTCAATATTAGCAAGGTCACTCTGTGGCGCATTATTAATGATAAAACTGTTCCTAGAAATAAGATAGGGGGACCAAAACGGTCCACAAGTAAGCAAGACGACGATTTTATTCGTCGTACATTAAAAAAGTTTCATTACATGCCCATTGAGGCCATTCAGCGGGAACATCTGCCGATGTTTTCTATGAACATCATTAGAAAAAGGATGAAGGAATTTGAACTGCAGCGGCGGAAGGCCATGATTAAGCCATATTTAAGTAGAAAACTAATTAGAGAACGGCTTTTATTTGCTAAGAATTATATTGAATACAGATCTTCATTTTGGAAGAGCATTTTCTTCTGCGATGAGGTTCTATTTTTAGACAAGCCTACGAAGTCGCTCCAAACTGTCATATGTGGAAAGAACTTCCCAAGAGAACATACTACACCGACGGCAACATTCAAGAACTGTCGGCGGATGATGGTTTGGATGGCGATTAAATTCGGTGAGCGGCCTGTCTGGCGGTCAACATCCGACACCATCAACAGCAAGGTGTTCATTGCAATTGTCAAGGATGCTTTCGGCTACAACGGCATAAGTCGGCGCCGAATGGATACTGTAATTTTGCAGGACAATGCACCTGTCCACCGCTCTAAAGAGGTACGAATTTGATGCCGCTTGCAAACATAATCTAACATTTTAGATAACAACCACGCTCTCCGCAATTGGCCTCCAATCCATTTTCATCCCGGCCAACAGTCCCGACCTTAATCCAATTGAAAATCTTTTTGGAATAGTCAAAAGAAATTGGCACAAAGCTAAGAAGACTCTTTCAATGCAGGAAAAATTGGATTTCATACTCAATAATTACATTTTACAATCCACCATAGATAACCTTGTCATGTCTATGTCGGACAGACTTTCTGCTGTTATTAATTCGAATGGACAATCTACAAAGTACTAATTTTTTGTATCTGTTTCTGTCCTTAATTATTTTTGACCTTTTATGCGCCCTCCTCCTTTATACGTCCTCATACGTAGCCTTTATTAACTTGGTTGTAATATAGGCGTTTCTCGAAAATGTGACTTTTGTCGAAAATTATTTATTTTTATCTCAGTAAATAATATTTTCTTAACCAAACTTTGCTTTATTTCTTTGGCACATCGTTTATTTTCCGCTATCAGACTTTGGGAGCCGTAGTGTTTACCGATTTTGCGTTAAAGGCGTTAACCTGTGTTAATTCGTGACATTTCATGAGTTAGCACAGGTACTGTATGTTAGAAACTGAAGCAGTAGTTGTGTGCTAGACGCGAATGTCGTAGTAAGCAATGTGTAGAGGAATTAGCCGGGAGGGCTACCAACAGGGATCCTACCGAAATATTATAGGCATTATTGCGTTGTTTAGAAATGTCGATTTATTTTGAAAAGCGCTATGTCCCGGAAACGTCAGAAGTGGCTCTTATTAAGTAAAGTTCGTTTTTAGATGTATAGAATGCATTCTCATACCAAAAACGTAGAAAGTATGAAAGTAGACATAAGAATGTCTAATAACAGTGTTTTAGTGAAGTTTACATCAAAATATCGTTTAATTAGTACTGTGACTTCATATATGACGGTTTGTCAACTGCCACAGAAGCTAAACTACACGAAAAGTAGTGTTTCCTATGTTTAAAGTTGGAAATGACCATTCCGTGGTGGTCAGCTATGTGACATCAGGTAGAATTTTCCAAACGGCAAAAAATTTCAGCCCACTTAAACGAAGGAATTCCTATCTGCGTTATTATTGCACTTTAGGGCAAAAAGTCGCACAGATCTGCTAATATGACATTAAGGAATTGATAAAACCTCTGGCTTTCTTAAAATAACCTTTGTGTTAGCGAGTTGACAATCATGGTTACCATCGGACATTAAATAAAATTTCTAGCCTCGCTCAATCTGTTTATTAAAACTGTCGAGGGTAAATTACTATCCTTTCAATTAAAAAGTCGCTCAGATGCGTAACTGGAGCCTAGGACATGTATTAGCATAGGGAGTTGCACGAATATATTCCAACGTCTATTTTCGCTAAAATTAACTGATATTTTTCTTGATATAATTACGCAAACACGATTTATGAACAAGAAAAGGAAATCGCATTTAAGGATGTGGGTGAGCGAACAAAATGCGCCACGTTAAAGGCGTCCAGAAATTATCTCATCAGTTTCCGTTATCAGATTTCATAAGATAGGTCACGTACTGTCGGTTAGTTGGGAGGGGCCTTAGAGATGATACAAAAAGCTTCGTTGGGGTCCACACTACTCCACACTACAACTTGCCCCAGAATAGCGCTAGTTATGCTCCTAATTTCAGACCTCCCCCTCCTCCTCCGCCCCTCTCCCACCTCTCCCTCCTCCTCCCCCTCCTCCTCCTCCTCCTCCTCCTCCTCTCAAGCCATCGCCGCGTGGAACTACCAGGGGTCACACAACAATAACCAGGATTTCAACCAACACAACAGACATTTGGAGGCTGGCACGGCCGAAGCCGCACCTAGGCGTGCCGCCGTCGCCTGGCTCGGATCCCACACTGTGGTGAGAGTGCCATAGAGGCCACATTAAGAAGGAGGTATTGCAGTCTGACTCTCAGACCACCACCGCTCGAGGAGGAGGTCAAAGTTATCCCGTCAGTTGGCAACATTCCAAGCCACGGCTTTTCGCGCACCGTGGTAGCTTCAAGCACGTCAGATTGTTTATAGTGAGGATAGGTGTGCTGAGTCGTCGACCTCACTCTCCCTTCCCATTCCCACACCACAGCCGCTGTCCGAGCCGGTCAGCAGACTGCAGTGGGGAGTGGGCGCGATGGCTGGCATGATTGACTGACCATGCCTGCGTGCGCCACAGCACGACCTGGCCCTCCATACACACGCACACACCAGAATTTCACACAACGGAGGTTTAACGGCGGGTCTCTCACTTGCGTGAGAGGGCCGCTAAAGGTGCTGTTTCAGCCCGTCTCTCAGCCCACCAGTCCGCCACTCCACATAACACACACACACACACACACACACACACACACACACACGCACACACACACACACACACACACACGACAGTTCGTCCGTCGATTTCGACGATGACCACCGTGTGCCCCACAGACTGCATTGTGGGAGCAGGGACGGTGACTTACGCAGGGGTTTATAGTGCCAGTAGACTTGCGTAGCATCTACCTACACTCTCTCCTCCTCCCCCGCTTGAGCACGGTGCCAAGACAGAGTCAAGAAGACCGGAGACGGGGGAGGCCGCAGGTGGATGGCTCGGACGGGTCTTCGCCTTGGCGCTCCACTCCGCACCCCTGGTCCACACACCAAGACCAGGATTTTGACCACAAAACAATGGGGTGGAGGCAGTGGTCCAGTTGTGCGACGAATGCCGACAATAGGGTCCGCCAGCGCACCCCGCAAATGTTGGCATTTGTTATTACGCAAAGATAACGCCTGCCAGAGTCCGATGTGGCCCCCGTGTTGGTCCAGCGCATCTAACACGTGGCCCGTTTTGGGGGCACACACACACACACACACACACAACGTGACGAACTGCGTGGTCCGAGTAAGGGGGCGTCAATCAGCAGCCTTCCTATCCACGACGCTTGACGTGTCGGGATAATCTCACACTCAGATCACCCGTGCAGCCGGAGACGCATGGGACGGAGTTGGGATGCACCCCTCCCTCTTTTCGTGGAAGGTGACAGTTGGGTGCAGGTGGATGGCGCGACCAGCCCACGCCTTGGCGTTCCACTCCGCACCCCCTGGCTCACACAACAATTGACTAGGATTTTAACCACATCATCACCACCACCACCACTGCCGCCGCCGTCGCCACCACCACCACCACCACCACCACCACCACCACCACCACCACCACCACCACCACCACCACCACCACCACCACCACCACCACCACCACCAACAAGAACAACTGGAAGGACGTGGATAACTGGACAGCCATGCACACGACCTGTATACCCATCTGGAGCGCAGGCCCATCTACCTCAAGAGAACCGCCAGCGCACACCAGGTTGCGAGAGCCAGGGTTTGCTGATCCTGGCGTAGCAGATGCTTACATTCCTTGAGGCCTAGAAGGGTAACACGCAGCCCAGCATTTAGCCTGGGCCACCATCCTTCAAAGGCTCGGTAACCAGTCACTCAGCGACTGAAAGGCACTGCCCATTAAGTACCACACACTTTTCAGTAAGAAGGAGTCGGGGCAGCCTGATTTTTAGACCACGAGTCTGCCACTCCGACAGTTTGAACATCGTTGCCGACGATGTCTACCGTATGCTCCACAGCAAGGTGAATCAGGGAGGGTTACTTGCACGTGAATTTAGTTTAGCGAATGTAGACTTACGCCACATCTAGCGCACTCCCCTCCTCCCCCCACGTGCGCCCGGCGTCAAGACAGAGTCAAGAAGACCGGAGACGAGGGAGGCCTCAGGTGGATGGCTCGGACGGATCCTCACCTCGGCGCTCCACTCCGCACCCCCTGGTTCACACAACAATGACCCGGATTTTGACCACAAAACAACGGGGGGATGGCAGTGGTCCCAGTTGTGCAACGACTGCCGTCTACAGGGTCGGCGGGGAGGACGTAGGCGGATGACGCGGCCGAGTCCGAATCTTCACGTTCCACACCACATCCCCTAGTCCACACAACAAATACTCGACGGGAATTTACACCAAACAAATGGGTGATAACACGGCCGGAGCCGCATCTAGGCATGCCGTCACACCTTGCGCTGATCCCACACACACACACACACACACACACACACACACACACGAAACTTCGACCGTCGCATCCGGCGATGTCCACGGTATGCTACACAGCAGGGTGGGGTAGGGACGGTGACTTGCGCCGGCAGATTTGCGCTGCATCCACCACACACACTCCCACTCCCCCACCTGGACCCGGTGCCAAGACAGAGTCAAGAAGACCGCAGGCGGGGGGGGCAGCAGGTGGATGGCACGGTCGAGCCCGCACCTTGGCGTTCCACCACACCCCGAGGTCCACGAAAATAATAACCAGGTCTCTGACCAATAACAGCAGAGGTTGGAGGCTGGCACGGCCGAAGCTGCACCTAGGCTTGCCTAAAACACCCGACTCGGATCCCAGACAGTGGGAGTGCCATTAGGAAGGGGCCATTGCAGCCTGATTTTTAGACCATCAGTCGGCCGCTCCACAATTGCAGCACACACAACACTGGGTCGACTGCGAAGTCCAAGTTATCCCGTCAGTTAACAACATTCCAAGCCACGGCTTTTAGCGCACCGTTATAGCTTCAAGCGCGTCAGCTAGTTTATAGTGAGAAAAATATGCTGAGTCGTCGACCTCACTCTGCCTTACAATTCCTAGGCCTCAGCCGAGCCGGTCAGTTGGCTGGCGCGGTGGCTGACCTTGTCTGCGCGCGCCACACGCAGGACCTATCCCCCCAAGATTACACACAACGGCGTAAGAGTGCCGCAGGTCAGGTTGAGAAGGGCCGCTTCGGCCTGGATCTCGGCCCACGAGTCTGCCACCCCACACATACACGCACACAACTGGACTGAGTTAGACTGTGCCCAGATGGTTCTGCTACTAATTACGTCTTACACTTCTTATGATCTGCACAACAAGGGGACACCTGGACATGCGCACCCACATCAATACTCGGACAATCCAATACCCCTATCTGACTCTTTCTCTGATGATGGATTTGAGTGGGAATCCGAAACCTCGGGCTAATAAAGCTCCTTCCTCACGACTACTTCCTAGAACTCACCTCTCGCTTCTACGAGCACCCACTCCCATCAGACAGTGCATTTAACCGTCGTAGTAGGTGGCGGGGCACTGAACGATTTAGCGGATGTTCAGTCGCCAGTGCGGACGAAAGGCATTTACCACCCATCTCAGCTCCGCCTCGTCGAACACTGTGCATTTGCGTGGCGATCGCCCTGACAGAAGGCTGGAATTCCGCATCGACGAGGAGTGCTTTTGGTCTGGAGGGCGGAATCCAACATGGGGTCGAAGGACGTTGTGGCGAGTGCAGTACAGTCTGCTACTTCAACTGCTGCGGTCCCTTGTTGGCCTGAAGCTTTTCGTCCGTATATGCTCTCCAAGAATCACACCGCAGAGTAGGATCACCTAGAACTTCTCCTGACGTAGACGACAGACCGAAACGAGCGTCTTCGCACAAGTCATAGCACTTGACGCGCCGTGACAGTCTCAGACTCCATTCACACATGCAGCGGAGGGGCTGAATGGAGACGGAGCCGAGACGCATAATTTCCACTTGCGAGGGAGGTGGCAATTGGACGCTTCTGGTAGATGACGGTTTTGCGTGATGTGGTTGGAGGAAGGTGTGATGCTGCGGCCTAGATGGCGGTTGTCTGTCACAGGTTTTCGTGAATGCGCATGTGGCCTAATTGGCTTGTGTGTTGGGTGAATATGCGAGCGCAGTGAGGACACTTAAGGCGAATGCGGCGAGTGTATTTGGGTGCTCCAGGCACTGGTTCGCCAGTCTCTGTGTGATGGGTTTGCAAGTGACCGACTAGGCCGATGCGTGAGGTGAATGTGCGGGGACAGTGAGGGCATGAGAAGTCGGCGATGTCAGTATCAACTTTGGTGATGGGGATGGTGGAGCTGGTGGTGTTGGGTGCTCTGAGCGACGGGTTGTGGGCTGGACTGAGCATGTTGGACTGGGTGCGATGGAGCTGGTGGCGATGGGCGCGCTGGGTGATCGGCTATGTGCTGGGTTAGGCATGGTGGGTGTGCAAGATGCGCTGATTGTGATGATGCTGGACGTGCTGGGCAACGAGCAGTTGGCTGTGCTAGGCATGGTTGATGTGTAAGATGTGCTAAGTGCGTTGAGACTGCGGTCAATCCCGTCCTCTTGGATACTACGCAAGTGGTCGAATAGGCGCATTCGGTGAGTAAATGTGCGGAACACTGGAGGCGGATACGTAGGTTGGTGCTTGTTCGCCAGTCTCTGTGCGATGGATTCTCAAGTGGTCGATCAGACCGAGGAGTGAGGTTAAGGTGCGGACAGGTATAGATCGAGTCCAAGTAGCTGGGTTGTTGGTGGGGGGGGGGGAGGGGGAGAGGAGGGTTGATGGTTGTTGATGTGTCCGGAGTGTGTTCAGTGGTAGTGGGTACAGGAGCCGCCGTAGCGGATGTTGACGCAATGGAGGGGGAGGATGGTAGTGGGAGTTCGGGAGTGCGGTCAGTGTTATTTGTCGGCGTGGAGACAGCAGCTGGTGTAGTCCGAGTGCTGCAGTTGGTACGAAGATGTCTTACAAGGCCGTTTGGTATCCAGAACGTCCGTTGGCAGCGTGGGCAGGTCGAAGCGGTTGAGCGTTGGCGTTGCGGGTGGACGCAGTTGAGATTTGCGAGCCTCGCGTTTGGCTTTGGCGGCGGTGGTACGGTTGGCTTCGTAGATCGCAGCGCCTGTCTTACCTGCCCTCCTCCCGTTCGGTTGGTCGGTCTCGAGCGAGGTCTTTCCAGTTCGCCGGGTTGATCTGCAGACGCTTCAGGGAAGTCTTCACAGTGTCCTTACTTCGACGGACTTGGCCTCATTGTCGGTGGGAACCCGTGACAACATCTCCGTAGAAGAGTTGTTTGGGTAGCCGCTCGTTGTCCATCCGCACGAGGTGGCCGCTCCAACGCAGTTGCAGCTGTATCAGCATGGCATAGATGTTGATGATTCCCGTCAGCTCCATTACATCCGTGTCCGAGATCCGGTCCTGCCACCTCAGATTCGGTATCCGTCGAAGGCACCTGAGGTTCAAATGACTGAATTTCCGCGCCTGCCTCGTGTAGACCATCCGGGTCTCTGCTCCATACAACAGCGTTGGCAGGATGACTGCCTCAGTTTCGTGCCGAGATGGAGACCGTGGCGATACCAGACGTGATTTGCAGACCGCTGAGGGATTAGCTGGCTTTGCAAATCCCGCGAGCCAGTCCATCGTGGATCTTGGTGGTGCGGGAGAGGATGCTGCCCAGGTATGTGAAGTTGCCCACCACTTGCAGTTGGGCGCCGTTCACGTTGGCGGCGTCGGGTGACAGTTGATACATGACCACTGTCTTGATCGCCAGGCCGAATTTGTCGCAGGTAGCGGCGGCGAAGAGATCCATGCCCCCCTTGGACTTGGCGTTGAGGGCGCAGACGTTGTCGAAGAGAAGTTCATGGATGGTGGTTGTGGAAACACGCGGCTGGAAGTGCGTCCGTCAGTCTGCCACTCAGCGCAAACGCACACACAACCGGGCTAACTGCGCCGACTGACTCGGTCGGCAACCTTTCAAGCCACGGCGATCGCCCCACCATGACAGCCTGAGGCGGAGGGGCCGCATGGAGAATGTGCCGTAACGCACACTTCCCGCTTGCGTGGAAGGTGGTAATCGGGTGTTTGTGATGGGTACGAGTGCAGGTGGAGGAAAGTGTGATTTTGTGGTGCATCCGGTGGTTGTCAACCACAGGTTTTCGTAAGTGCGCATACGACCTTATCAGCCGATGCGGTAACCCAGAGTACGGGACATTAAGGGCAATTGGGGCGGGTGCGGTGGATGTAGGTTGGTGCTCCAAGCACTGGTTCGCCAGTCTCTATGCGATGGATTCGCAAGTGACTGGCCATGCCGATGTGTGTGTGGGGGAATGTTCGAACGCAGGTGTGGACAGGTGTGAACCGAGTCCACATCGCTGGAGGCGGAAGTGCTTCTGGTGATGGTAGAGCTTCGGACGTCCCCTCATCGGTGGGAACAGGGCGTGCAGACTTTATCGATGCAGGGATTGGGGCAGGGCGGTGAGACAGATGGTGGCGGTCGGGGGGAGGGGGGGCAGGAGCGAGTGTGGGAGAGGAGGCAGACGTTGTTGGGTTGATGGCACATTGGGCCCGAAGGTGTCCAATGAGACCAGCTCGTGCGCAGAATGCGCGTTAGCAGCGCAGGCATGTTGGAAACGGCGGATGGTTAGCACTAAGGCGACGGCGGCGATCCGATTTACTTCGTAGATGGCAGCAAGTGCTCGGCCCAGCACTTCAGAATCTGCGACATCTCCGTCAGAAGCGCTTACCCCTCAGAGCTGAGATGCGACGCAATTCCTCCTGCTGGGCGGCCGTTAACGGCCTTGACCACAGCAAAGATGTTCTTTGATTCTTTGCGATCGGCATATCCCTGGATCTATTTGGCCCTGTGAGCCATCCAGGTGTCCCGCATTTCTCGCAGCTGTTGCTGTGTAAGGCGGCGACATTGGCAGAAGGCTGCTTTGTTTGCGTCGTGTGGGTAGTCGAGGTAGGCTCTGTGCAGACCGTTCTTCTCGGCTGCTGAAAGTTGGCGGCGTGCGCGCCGTTGACTGGACTGTGTCCCCCAGGTGACATCATCGATTCTCCGCAGAGGCTTTCTCGTCAGCAGCGGTGGCGGCGGCGGCAGTGACTGGAAGGTTGTCTAGCCGTTGAGCTAGGTCGTTGCTGAAAAGAAGATGGTGAGCGGGGAAAGACATCAAGGTAATATTCAGCTTACCTGTGGATCGTTTACCTTGTGGTCTTCTGCGAGGCTACAGGCGAATACGCATCTTCGAGATGACGAGGAGATGGTCGGCCCACCCGTCTGCACCCGCGATCGCCTTTGTCACCAGCACGTCCCGCTGATCACGCCTCCGGACGAGGACATAGTCCGGCAGGTGCCATTGACGCGACCGAGGATGCCTCCAGATGGCCTTCTCTCGCTCCGGCAGACAGAAGTACGTGTTCGTCAGGATGATGCGGTGTTCTGCGCAGATGCGGAGGAGGAGCAGGCCGTTGTCGTTGAAGCAGCAGAGACCATAGGGACCTAGCACTCCTCTCCAGGCAGCATGGTCTGTGCCAACTCGGGCGTTGAAGTCACCAAGGACGATCAACTTGTCCGCCTTCGACACATTGGCCAGGAGGATATTCAGACCTTAGTAGAGCTTGGTCTTCGCCTTCATCAACGCTACTACTACTACTACTACTACTACTACTACTACTACTACTACTACTACTACTACTACTACTACTACTACTACTACTACTACTACTACTACTACTACTACTACTACTACTACTACTACCACTACTACTACTACCACTACTACTACTACTGTCGTTAATTCACTTATTTCTAGGAACTTGATCGGCATGACGATGCGGTTGAAAGGACGAGGAGGGAACAAAAACCTTTGTTGATCTGACGGAGGTCTTGAACAGAGAAATTCCTAAAGACCGCATCACCAATAGTGGCGACGCGGGTGCAGTATCTGAATGATTATGAACTATCGGCAACCTCAAGTAATCGAATACGGAATTTTCTGGTCTGCAAAAAGTCCTGCGCAAACGTTCTAGATGTCATGTTTCCTGACCTTGTGTCCCCCTATATGTTCTTGAATTTATCAAGTTTTCCTAGTTATACCATTTTTCTTCTAAATATAATATTGTTTGCAGATAGTTGTAAAATTGTCATCCAGTTGGATAATGAGTTAGAGAACAGATTTTTCAACTCATCCACTTCCTACGCATGACCAGTTGTGCTAGTTTTTATTGAATGAGACTTTACAGTTATTTAGTCCGTTTCGCATGCGGAGGATTGCCAGAACGCAAAACCGTATCACCTAAACCTCGAGTAGGTCGTTCAAGTTGTCTTGCTGTGTTACGAGTTCCTAGTAAGAAATTGACTTAAAGCAGAGATTCTCATTAGGAAATCTGGCCGTCACCAATTAGTGTTTTCTTCGACAGCTAAACACCCCTACTGATAAGGAATTCATCATCATCAGTATCAGGTTTGAAATTCACACAGGTACTTTCTATGTGTCGTGGTCTTATCACGCAATGGTTCCGCGAGCTCCTTTACTCTGGTTAGCCAGGCATTTAAGTAGTAAGTCCAGATGCGCCTTACGACCTTGTCGCATTCACTGGAAACTATTTTGTGTCGGATGCCTCCTCGTACGCGCCAAATAGCACATTCAAATTGTGGCCATATCGATCGCGACCGGGGCCCGCTGCGGAGCGGGGATTGCTTGGTGGTTACAGAGCACGGCTCACTGTTATTGACAGCAAACTGGCCGAGGAATGACTATGAACTGAAGAGTTATCCTGGGGCTACCAGGTGGCAGTGGCCTATCGGCCTACATGGAGTGGGATGACTTGCGCAGCATCTACCACACTCTCTCTTCCCCACCCCCCACCTGGACCCGGTGCCAGAGCAGAGTCAAGAAGACCGGAGGCGGGTGATATGTGACAACAGGTATTCCATCGCTGGCGTACTGTTTAACTTGCTCGAGGTAGGTCATTTTATTGTGCATCGAACAAGCCAGATCTGCGCACTGTTAAATACTGAAATAAGCAGTCTACGCAGTGCTCTAACACACAGGTCTGCAACAGATATCCGATTGTAATCATAATCAAAGCCTTGATTTGCATGACAATGGTTGTTGTAATTACAATTATTATCCCTCGGATGAACATTAATCCTGATGGCAGTGTTGACCACGATCATTTTTTATGAAATGACCAACTTGCACGATGTTGTAACGCGCACCGCCATGCAATCAGTTAACCTAACATGTTAACTTAAATGAAAACCCCGGATTACAAGCGAAAATAGGCAACTTCGAGCGGAAAATTCGAAAATTACGGGATGTACGTTCTGAAGTCGTCTGACGAAAAAGGTTTAATAAGGGTCCACTAGTGTCATCAAAAGTTCTGTCCTGCGAATACATAATGGCAGTTATCATAATGCTAGTTTTTCATTTATTAGCAAAATTCGGAATGGTTCTGTAAGCCTTGGTAAATTATTACAACAATACTAACAGTTGATATCTACATGGCCTTCAAAGATGTCTACAAGGACGATCCGGACGACGACGTCTCTGAAGGTCGACTTGGTAACGACGATGACGGTGAGGAGGGGGTTTGGTGGAGGGGAAGAAGAATAAGGAATGCAACGGTCGATTTGTCGGTGGCGGGAGTTTAGAACTGTTTCCTACAGACTAGACATGTCCAAGTCTGAATCGATTCTCCCCTTACCTTCCCTGGATAAGGAGACTAAGCTGCTTTCAGGAATCCACCCTTCATTTACTTGCTCGTATTCCGACCAAGATTTAATAAACCAGTGCCGTTTATTAGATGCCCATGCGTTGTGAAATTCAGTTAAACACAAGCGCCAGTCTAGTATGCCACTAATTAATCTACTACCAAAACTACTTCATCGACTTAAGTAGCCATGTAAGCGATGTTTTAGTATTTTCTTGAGAGTTCGGAACTAACCTGACCGGGAAGACGGGTTGCCGGGAAGACGGGTTGCCCCAAGAAGACGGGTTGCCCGGGAAGACGGGTTGCCCCGGGAAGACGGGTTGCCCGTTAGCCTAGCTGCTGGCTACCCGGCGCGTCCACAGGTGGCGGATAGTGGGACGACCTTCAGTGAAGGTTAGCTGCGAAATAAGCAGACCCA